CAGCTACTGCGAGGGGTCTGCAGTACGGGGCGGCGTTGCCACCATCATTCCCGCTGAATTCCGCGCTGGGGTCCCTCGGCGATCTTTAGTCCCTGGTAGAGTGCTACGAGTAGCCCTTCAACTGGACGGCTCCTACGTTCACTATCACAATGTGCACAAACACGACCTGACCATTGCCCAGCTCAATGGAGTGTCGAAAGATTTGGTTGCTGACCTGAAGGCGGCTCATCTGGATCCTCTTCGCCATGTTGCCATTCTTCATGGGGGCCTCAATTTTGCTCCACGTGCTCCTCTCCTTCCTCGCCAACCTCGCCGCCGACTCGCCCAAGGTAAAGGACAACGCGCCAGAGCCGCACATTGGACCCCGGCGCTGAAGACCACGATGGAAACCTTTTCTGGCGAGCCAACACACTACGATCGCCACGCTCACTCCGTCTCCATATTGGATCGGCTCTGGTGCAGTTGGCCTGGGTGGATTATGACACAGCTTACGGCTGAACCTAGTGTCATTGATTGTCCTGGGCGCCTCGCTGAAACCAATGTCAGCGATCATGCTGCGCGCGTGGTGGAGATCGCGCAACGATCTCTGCGGCCTGCTCATGCCCCTCGAATCTCACGGCACCTGTTTGGAAGTGATGAATTCCAAGAGCAACCCACGACTGTTTTCGACAGGCTCAACTATGCGGACAAACGCCCCCCTCGCCAGATCGAGCTTCACAAGTGGGCCATTCGCGAAGTGGCTGCCGATCTTCCTGATAGGCTATTTCATCTGGCCACTGAGGACAATTCGACGCTATTGCTACGTGCTCGGCAAATTTCTAGGATCGTCTGGCGGAACGATCACAAGCTTGCTCGCAAGCTCATGGCTAACCATACTGCGGCCTACGAGTTCTTAGATATTCAGAACAACATGGTCCGTCTACGCCATCCTGCCTCCTTTCAACACTGGCGCGATGAGATACAACGTCGACATGCTGATCAACTTCGCACTCGACTTGAGGAACGACTATCTCGACCTCGTGCACCACAGGCTATGCGACATCAACTTGCTGCAGTGGAACGGCGTGCGGGCACCTCGTCTCCTCTGAACCGCAGGTTGGAACTGCGTGCGGCGAAGCACCCGTCGGACCCGACCTGCGTCTCCAGCGACTCCGCGACCATGCCAGACCGCCTGGTCGAGCACTGGGCCCCCATATTTAAGGCCAAGCCGACCGACCTCAGCCAAGCACAAGCACACATCGAACACCACGTTCCGCTATTGGACTTCTCCAAGGTTGATCCCCTCATCGCCTGCACTTCTGCGGCGCGTTGTCAACAAAATGCACCACTCTGAACTTGGGCTGGGCTCCACCCCTTACACTGCTTGGGCGGCCAAGGGCGGGGAGGTTGATGACTCTCTGGCGACTGGGCGTTCCCGCCCCCCTGGGGCGGTTCGGTTTCTGGGCCCGCGGAATACGGACGCAAAGGTAATCACCGCCACAGTCGACATCCAGTTCAGCCAGCTGCTCATGGATCGGGCACCTCGATCGCAGAGGGGCTTCATCCCCAACAGGAACTTTGGGGTCAACATTCTCGAGCTCGACGTCGCAGCCCGCGCGCATTCGAACCCCCCACTGCAAGCGCTGACCTTCCTGCCCTTGTTGCGCTGGACTTCGGCGCGGCCTTCCCGAGCCTGGCGCAGTCCTTTATGATGATGGTCTTTCGGCAAATGCAGGCCCCCAGCGCGTCCATGGCTATCTTGGAGCAGCTCTATCATATATTGGGCGCTATCGTTATGAAGAACGGACTCCCTACGTTTGCGTGGCGCATCTCCTCTGGCATCATTCAAGGATGTTCGCTCAGCGGATCGAGATGTGCGGCAGTGACGGCACGCTTTCTTTTCGACCTTCAGACGCGGATGGAGGGCCCACGGCTCGGCCTTGCACGTGCTTGCGCCGACGATATTGGCTGCGTCGTCCAGCAACTACAGGCGCTCCGCATCCTCGCTGACGTGATGCAGACCGCGGAGAAGATCGCCCCGCTCGTGCTCAAGCCAACCAAGTGCCTGCTAGCGCCGCTCCGCGCACAGTTCACGGAGCAGCTGGCCGCCTCCATGCGTGAACCGATCCGTGAGATGGTTCCTATCTTTGCCAACATCCAAGTGATAAGTTCTCTGACCTATCTTGGCGTAGTCTTGGGCCCTGCGGCAGATGAGCTCATGCTGGCTGGCGCCATCCATTAAAGTCACAGTCAGATCTGTTAAAGTCACAGTCAGATCAAATATTGACGGGTGCGAGTCCTCTCGCAGTCTCGCGGCTGGCGGTCAACTACGCGACGAGAATTGCCCCCGTGCTCTCGTGCGTCGCGCAGTTCCGCATGATGCCAAGTTGGCTCCTCCGCGAAGAGCTGATTGCCCTCTCCAGGACGTTCAGGATCCCCCTCGGCACCTTTAACAGCTCGGCCTGGCTCCGACTCCGCGGCGTTGGTGGTCCATCTGCACCTTCCTGGCTTGCCATGAGCATTGGGGCCTTGGCAAGGACGACACGCGCCACGCTCCCTGAATTTCAAAGACTACATGGCTGGATGTATCGCCAACACCAGCAGCTAGGCGATCTTCGTGTGCTATCTCAAACTGTAGCTAGTGGGCGGCGGCCGTATCCACATTTCCGGCACTCAGAGGCTTTTGCCGAAACCTCCGCGACTGCTCCGCCTCCAACATCTTCCCTGACTACTCGCAGGCACACCTGGTCTCAGCCAATGCAGAAGCTGACCGATGGCAAACAACGCAGCCCATGTCAGTGGGTTTGCAACGATGCGTAGCCACGCTGATCAAGACTCGCATCTGCCACTCCCCGCTGTGGAACTTCCTGGAGGCACGACTCATCCGCCGCTTCCCTGAGTTGGGAGTGATGGGCGACTCTCTTGTTCCTGCGCAACGCTGGGTCCACATTTTCCAATATCTTCGTGGATTCGCACTGCCTCGGGCATTTGCATGCCTCAAGACGGTTGCCAATGGCTGGGCGACATCGTACAGGATACTTCAGCCGCACGGGCGCCTCTCGTGCCGATTTGGATGTCCGCGGGGACCTGATGCTGTTTTCCACTACTTACAGTGCCAACCCTCTCGTCTCCTTCTGGAGCAAGAGCTCGGCTACTCGCGGCCCTCCCCCCCGCTGGGTCGTCTGGGCCTTATGGGCTCGGCTGTCGAACTGGACAAGATGCTCTTTGACGTTGCGGTGATGTACTACACATATGTCGGTGCAGCTCACTCTTCAGCCGCTTATGTTTGGAGGCGAGAGGCGGCGCGCTCCTTTGTCAAGGCAGCCATTCGTACCGTACAGCTAGGTGCTACTGCGCCATCGAGAGCACCCCCGGGGACAAGGTGTGCTGGGCGCGCGCGCCCTGACAAGAGAAACGGGCCATCCTGCTCTTCCTCACTCTCGTCATCGTCTTCCTCGTCTTCTTCTGGATCTCCCTCGCCACCATCGAGCGATGTGCCCCGTCCCTCGCCATCAACACCGGGTATCGACAACATTGAGGGCGCTTTTGCTCTTGCTGGGGGCTCGTCTTCATCGTGCTCTTCACCGAGATCGCCACCGTCACTCCCTTGCTGCATTCCGTCCACGTTATCGCCAACTCCCATTGCCACGGCCGCGACAACTCTGGGGGTGCCACTTGCCTGCTATGCCTTCGACCATGGTGCTGGTTACGGTTGAGTGGGAGACATTGTTGAGGTGTTCCCAAATGAAGAAGCCTGGCGATCCGCTTCCCGATGCTTATCATCACAGGTTTGCTTTATGCTGCGCCCGCAGAGTATCACGGCTCAAGCTGGGATATCCAGCGACTTACCTCAAATGATCGCCCTCGCTTTGGGATTTCTCTTTCAGCCTGTGGCTGTCGCTTATGGGGCCACTGCCAGCACTACATTTACAGCGACGACGAGCATTCCTACTCCACCGTTCACGCCTTTGCCGCCAGTTATGCGGCGCCCTGGGCTTACTCCTGGGCCGCGCGACCTTATTGGTGGACGAGAGCTGGGCGGTGATCGCGAGACGTCGACTACGGCTGCACTTCATGATGTGGATCTTCCTGCGCCCTTTGAATCCTTTGTCCCCCCATCGGAGGAGACAGGCCTTCCTATCGCCGCTCGCCGCCAGGCGCTCGAGGACAGAATTGAGGCGTGGGCTCGCTCGTGGATCACCACGCTGATGGTGAACACGTGCGGCTCTGACTTCGATCAATGGATGCAGTGGTGCCCTGACTATGTGGAGAACGTTCTCAGGTATGATGACTTTCAATTTCTTTGCGGTGGCTGGGCGGGCAGGCGGCAGCTCGCTCTGGACTGGTGTCTAAGCGGGTGGTACCGCAGCGCCATTGTTCGAGAGCAACTACGGCGCCTCCTCATTTACCCATGGCCTGAGCATGATGAGAAACGGACGCGGCGCCTCCGCCTTCTGGCCATGGCGCATGTGAAAAAGCTCGGGTGGCGTGCCGACCCGTCGCGCATGTCCGCAGCCAACCGCGACGACTACTTGGTGCAGATCACTGCGGCTCCACCGATCGCCCCACCTGCGCCCATGCCGCATGTCTACGTTCTTCCGCACCTGCTTATCGACCTGACGTTCGAAGCTCTCGCCCAGGGCGAACCGCCGCCTGATGAGGATAACGCCAGCATCGACCACGAGGGAGTCCCGAACCCCTCCGACTTGGATCTCGAGCTCATGGCGGCGGGCGCAGGCGACGGCGACGACCCCTCGAGCCACGCGCTGGATATCGCCATGCGAGCTGATGAGCACCCACCACATCCTGGGCCGCATCTCAGCGATGATGAATTCGAACGACAGCTTCTACGTGTTCTGCGGCGCTCTCGTGATGATGCCGACGAGGACCTGTCTCGCGACCCTGCGGTTGGTCCCCCGGGTGATGCCCCTCGGACTGCGGCTCCCGCTGCACCCGCGACGCAGAGTACGAGCAGCTCTTCGGGTGTGTCAACGAGCACTGATGATGACTTTGATGCAACGATGGCAACACACGGTTTCGGCGTCATCTACCCTGACGGCTCCGTGGGGGGGGTGCCCTTCTGCCTGCTCTTGACGTGCCACCAGTCCTGGAACATCCTCCTGTGGACCGTCCTCCCCCTATACCTGAAGCAGTGGCCGACGATTTCCCTGGCCCACAAGCTCTGGGTATTCCACCTGTGGATCGACTCCCACCTGTTCATTATGCTTCTGATCTCGCTCTTCATGATGATGGAGATGGCCATGCATGGGGAACTACCGCTACGTCGTGTGCCTGTTCCTGGCGTTCTTACCGGCCCCGCTCATGACCCCCAGATGAGGAACAAGTATGCGGCCGTGGACGTGATGTTTGGGGTGACTGGCCTGCTGCCGCACACCTCGCTCGCTCTCCAACTGGCGCTCGAGACCCTAAGCCAAGGCATAGACTCGCGCCCGACATCGACAGCATCAACTGCGTCTGCTCCAAGGGCGACGACTGAGGGAGCCCCAGCATCTGCAGAGAACCTCTCGCAACATGACAAGATCTCCCACCAGCAGATCGAGTACGCGATGCGGGCCTTGGACATTCTATACCCTGTACTACAAGATACTAGTCGGGAGATGATACGATGGATGCTACTACACCCTGCCTCCCTCGTCGTTGTCCATGACGAACTGCCAGCAGGCCCTGAGACCGTTCCTCTTCCTGCACCCGACCGCTTGCCTCATGCTCCGCCTCCTCCTGATGATGATCTGGCTGGTACTTCGGCCAGGGGTGAAGGTGCCTTCCCCGACTACACGCCCTTCGACCCCGCAGCGTTGGATGTTGCAGGGGTGGTTTCGGTTGCCTCCCCACCCGCGGCCTTCCCCGACTTCGACTTTTCTGACATGGAGGACAGTGGTGCTGGGGACACTGCGCACGTGGATGATAGCACTGATACTGGCCACACCGCGCTGGTCGTCGACGCGATTGACGGCTCGGTCAGCCCCATCGACTCCGCCTACGACGCCCTGGACTTCAACAGCGTGAGCCTGAGAGGCTCCGCGCTCGCGCGCACGCAGCGGCCATAGGCGGGGAGAGACGGTCGCCAAGGACGCTCGCTCCTCCTCCTCCTCCTCCTCCTCCTCCTCCTCCTCCTCCTCCTCCTCCTCTTCCTCCTCAATTCCCTCCTCCTCCTCCTCAATCCCCTCCTGCCCCTCCTCCTCCTCCTCCTCCTCCTCCTCCTCCTCCTCCTCCTCCTCCTCCCCTCTCCTCCTCCTCCTCCTTCCTTCTCAATCCCCCTCCTCCCCCTCCTCCTCCTCCCCCTCCAAGCAAGGGAAGGGGACCGCAAACGACGTGAGGAAGGGGGAGGGAGGGGGGAGCGCGACCGGTGGGCTCACGGAGGCTTGAGAAGTGCGCGCGACGACAACCATGACCAGAACATGTTTTCGTTCTGCGCTCTTGTGGTCGAAGTGGCTGCACGCTGTGTTATTTTTTTCTGCGCTGAAGTGGTTTTTTTGCGTTGCAATTGCGTTTCCTCTGCAGCTTCGCCATGGAAATTGGAGCTTCGTTTGCGGGGTGACACTTGGGGAGGCGTGGGAGTTTCAGCGAAGGTGCGCAGCGACATTCGAAAACGAAAATGATCAGCAACGCCGAGTATCAGCATCGCATGCTGATGTTAGCAGCTGTTTTTGCACTGTAGCCACTGCTTCGTCATGCATGCGTGTTGCGTTGCAGCTTCGCTGCAAGAACTTGTGTTTCGGTCCGATTGTTAGGGCCCGTCTGGCCGATCAGCTTCGTTCTTGCATTGCTGATCTGTTGGTCCGTTTGTGGTATCTGTTTGGTCTGGTTGGTTTGGTTGCACTGGTTGGCCTTGGCTGGCTCGAGCCTTGTTTTGTTTGACTGGTCTAATTACTTCGCTTGGTCTGGCGAGCGGTCGTCTGCATTATATGACGAGCTTGTGGTCGGGAGTTACATGCTTTGTCTGACGGGTCTGGGTGGTTTGTCCTGGTTGGTCGCTGTGATGATAGTAGGTTTGCTTATTTCGTGTGGTGTCGGATCGGTCATGTGGTTAATAATTATGCATCGGATTGTTGGACATGGTCTGGTTGGTTTGGTCGGCTAGATACGTTGGTGTGGTTGCATGGGTCGGTCTGGTTGAGCTGGCGCTGTCGGTGTTGCTTGTTTTGTTTGGCTTTAGCGATACTGAAGCTTTACCAGGATCGGCCTGGCCGTCCTCTCGTCCCACCTTTACTCTTCGTGTTCCTCGTCCTTCCGTTTGACTCTTTGCTTTCCCTATCGAGCTCTGCCACTTCCCTCCTCTTCCCTTCATTGCCCTCGATATATTATGTAGTGCGCTTCGCGCACCGTCAGGCTCAATCTCATTTGTCTCTTGCGTGCTCCTGCGCCTCCTCAGGCTCTTGCTCGTTTTCCCCGTGCTCCTCTTCTCCCTCTTGTTTCCGCCTAGGCTTGGCTGCCCTGATTGATTCGTTTTGGTCTGGCTGCTTCGGCCCGCCGCGTTGAAGATGCGGGGGGTGGGGGCAGAATGGGAGGAAAGAGAGAGAGAGAGGGACAGGAAAAGCGAGAGAGAGAGAGAGAGAGTTAGAGAGAGAAAGATGACAAAACAGGAGCGGGGGGAAAGGGGCGGAAGGAGGAGGAGGAAAGAGTACGCGAGGGCGACCAGGATTATGCTGATTCACGTGTTCCACATCCAGATGGGGAAAAGGGGGCGGGGGAGGAGGAGTAACCGCAAGAAGACTGCGAATATGAAAACCATTAGATTTGCTATCAAGTACGAGAACGACGCTCCTCCTCCTCCTCCTCCTCCTCTGTTTCTCCTCCTCCTCCATCTCCTCTTCCTCGAGAATGAGTAGACGCGAGAGACACACCGAGAGAGAGAGAGAGAGAAAAAAAAAAAAAAAAAAAAAAACGTGCCCGAGGTGGAGCCCGCCACGCCGCGAAAGCCCCACAGGGCTGCGTGGCCCCTCGCCGCTCTCGCCGGCGCGGGCGCGGCCCCAGCGCTGCCGCGCGCTGCTGCTCCACAGGGGGGGGGAGGGCGGGGGGCGAGCAGGTCGAGCCGACTGCCTGCCGAGGGGGGGGCGGACGAGCATCAGAGAGAGCATCAGAGAGAGCATCAGAGGCGACGGGGGGGGGAACAGGGGACGGGTGGGGACGAGCATCAGAGAGAGCATTCGCGCCCGTGGGGCGCGTACGTGTTCCTGCTTCGTCAACGCGTTCGCCCGGGCAGCGAAGTACGTCCAAGGGGATGGGGGCCCTTGCATGTGAGTCATCTTGGAGGTTCATCTTTTTGTCTTCTAGTGTGCATGCACGCTTTGAGGACTCATGCCGACTGCGCCTGAGGAGGAGGAGGAGGAGGAGGAGGAGGAGGTAGGAGGGGGGAGGGCGAGAAGGTGGAGGGAGAGGAATTGGAGGAGTTGGGGGGAGGGGGAAGGGTGAGAATGAGGAGGAGGAGGAGGTCCAGAACAAACCCATGATTCATCAGCGATGCTGCAATAGATCCTCCCGTTCCAAGTCCCCTTCTTCTTCTTCACTGCAAGAAGCGTCCCCCAGAAAGAGAAGCACCCGATGGGCTTGCCGTTCAGGCGACAGCCTCGCTTTGACAGGGAGGCGCCATGCATCGCTTCGGCGCAGGAGCAGGAATGCGACAAGGCAGGAGCATGTAGCTCAACGAAGTGTCCAACGATATTCCCGTTTGGGCGATGACCGTCCCCAACCCGTGCAGCCGTTGCACAAGCTTGCACGCATGGCCATGAACTTCGAGGTACTACCAAGCGAAAGGCCCACTTTGGAAAGGGCCCACTCTCCATGCGAGCAGTTGCAACAGACCGTGGAGATCATTATATTGCGAAAGCCTTACGGCCGGCGCCGCCGACCTTGAAGGGGGGACGACGACGAAGACAGCGACGATGAATTGATTCAAAAATCTAAGGAACGAGAGGGATGAGGAGGAGGGGGACGGAGGAGGTGAAGGGGAAGGGGAAAAGGATGGAGGAGGGAAGATAATTAGGAGGAGGAAGGATGACGAGCTGGATTGTGGAGGAGTTGCCATGGATTCGCCATTTACCAGGATTGGGGTGGTGTGTCGCCACCAAAACAAAACGGCAGCGCGGCAACCACTTTACTGTGTACACGCCGTCGGGCTGCCGACGACGACGACGCTGACGTGGGTCAGAGTCCTCAGGGATGCTTCTTGGGGTCTGGTCGAAACGCTTTGGGGGCCTCGGGTGACAATGTAGGGGTCTCTTGGGAGCCTCTTGGGGGCCTGTTGGGGCTTCTGGGGGCCTCTCGGGAGCATCTTGGAGTCTATACGGGGTTTCTTGGGGGCCTTTTGGGATCCTCATGGTTTCGCCTGGGAGCATTCGGGGCGGAGGGTTCGAAGTGTCCGTTTGGGTCCGTCGTTTCGGCACCGTCTTCGAGCCGTCTCGGTGGCTTCTAGGGCCTTTTTGGAAGCGTATTGGGCCGTTTTGGGACTCCGTTGGGCCGTTTTGGGTCATTCGTGGAACCTTATGGGGCTGTCTGGGGGCGATACGGGAGGCCACTTCGACCGTCTTGGAGCGTCGGGAAGCAGAAGAGGCTAGAACGCCGAAATCATCAAAAATCCGATGGGCAATTTACGATTTTTGTTTTCACGGCGCTCTTGGGACTGCTCTTGGCGGCCTCCTCGAGCGTCTTGCAGGATTCTTGGCCCGTCTGGAGGCCGTCCAGGCGTCTTGGACAGATCGTTCGGCGATTCAGGGCCCGCGCGGACTGTCTTTAGGAGCTTTTGGGCCACTCTTGGCACGTGTGTTGCGGCTCTTCTGCGGCCCGGGGGCCCCCGGAGGGGAAGCGCACCTGACCTGGGACGCCCCCCGGCCGGGACCTGGGTCCAGACCCAGGACCCCCCCCCCATCCCAGCGGGGGAGGGATCAAAGTGAAGGGGCTCCCTTTCGAATGTATGACGACGTTGCTCAATTTCGATGTGGCTGACGCGCTGAAGGAGGAGAGCCCAGGAAAGGAGAGAGGAGCGGCGACCGGCACAGGGAAA